ATCACTGGATGGTGATGAAGCGATAGTGGGACCCATCATCGTCAAATGTGATTGACCAGGTGGTAAGCTCCATTCTCTTTTTTTCTTTTTTTTTGATAATTCAAGAATTGAACTTGAAATATAGCACTCTTAAATGTGAGCTGCTAACCACTCAAGCCCAAGCCCAAGCTCAATTTCTAAAGTGCCACGCCTTATCCATCATTGTCCATCTTTTGCTTGAATGGTGATCGACATTTACGACTAAAAATTTCTATGAATCACATTAAAAGCTTCCTTATCATAATATCAATTATTTCTCTCCACAATTATGTTGATTTCCCCCAAGTGATGTATGAATTAGATAATTGAATCTTTACTGCTCATCAAGCATCAAAACCGATGGTAAGCATGATCCTCAACTACATTTTCTTCAAATATGGTTAAGCACCATGCTGAAGGACAGTTAGAATGGAGCTAATTGCAATTAAAATAAGGCAAAAACACTTGGACAAGGTTGTTTTGCACATGGGTAGTCGTACATCACATTTGTTTTACCACACAAGCATGTTGTGACAAGCAATATATTAATTCTTGAAGAGATAAATCCTTCTTAACAAAAAGGCATCATTGGTTTCCTTTTCTCCTGGCTAATAAAATTTGTGGATCCTGTATGCAACTGGGGTTTCTCTAACCCAATATTTAATGATGATGAAATATTGGGTTAGACTCTAATCCAATATTTAATGATGATGAAATATAGAGTAAATAATAGAGTTTGGAGAATGATGAGTCACTGTTAATACAAAAAGAGGGGCAAGGACATGTTTCCCAGCTGTTTCTTACACTAACAGGCAAGTAATCATCAATTGTAGTACTTCCTTCCTGAAAAACTCTTTAAGATAATGCAATTCAACGGGTTTAGCGTGTGTGGAAAGATAGAGAATCCAACTAAATAAATGGTACGTTTAGATTTTGAGAAAGAGAGAGAGCAACATAACGTGCTGTATTGTCAGATCTTGCGCCTCAAACATGGTCGGTAACTGTGAAAATATTTTTGTGGAAGCATTTTTCTTTTTTGACAAGGATGCATAAAAACGGAACTTCACACGTATTGTTATGAAACCCAGTTGTTACCTTCTTGAGCCCGATTTCTAACGAAAGTATTTTTATTTTTGTGGGAGATAACTCTCTCATGTGATATGATGTGGGAGCTTTTTTTCGATCAAATTGGTGTCGTGTTTTATAAGTCCAGCGTTTTCAAATATTTATTTTACGAGGAGAGAGTAAAATTTGCAATTAAAGAGAGATAGAGCACTGTTGTAGCACATGGTATTGTCAGATTTTGTTCGGATCGCTCCACTCTCATCAACAAAAAAAAATAAAAAATTAAAAATAGGGAAGAAGTGTAGGGGACTGGCAGTTGTAGAGAGAAAAAAGAGAGGGCGGTGGGTGGAGACAAGAGACGAGACAAGAGGCATTGGTGCGTAGCCCCAGCTGTCGGGGGACACCCGTTATCGTCACCCCCACCCGTGGGCCCAAACGGTCCAAATCCCCCCAGGCAACGTCCCACACCTCACCTCACCCACCGCACCCAGCGCCGTGCTAACGCACACCCGCGCTCGCGCCCAGGCTCTAAGCACCGACAACGCCTGTCCTCACCCCCAATAAAGGTCCCCCTCTCTTTCTCTCTCTACTTTTCTTTCTCCCATCATCTCTCTCTCTCTCGCTCCTCTTCTCTCTCGATATCAGTAAAAAAACGCGCTTCCACAAACACACCATGTCCCTTCTCTTTATGGCCTTGCGACAATGCACCCATAACCCCCAGATTCCTTTTCCCCCTCTTTCACTCCCCTCCTTTATTCCCTTCTTTATTTGTACAATTGATAGGAGAAATTGGAGGGCCCCTAATTTCTTGAATTGCCCATAACGCGTATCTTAGTTGTGAGTGTGGTTATTTTACTTGAGAATATTTTTATGCATACTCTGATGGATATGATCACTGTTGATTTAGCCATCCGATCGGGTCGTGATTGACTGAAATTGGGACCGCTGTAGGAAAAAGAGGCCTGGGTTACCTGGACTCGCCCATTTGGCTTAAAATTTTATCCATGTCGTTCTTTATAATCGTAGTGGTGATTTAAAAAACGGATCAGCGATTCTGGTCAGGTACTTTAAAAACCGGTTTGAATCGTCATTTTGCTATGCCGGAAACCAATGAACTAAATAAATAAATAAATAAATAGTGAACCAAAAAAAAAACCAAGTACATATCACCGTTTTACTTTAGAGTTTAGAGTTTAGACCATCACCGTTTCGTTTTATTGTGCAGGACCGTCAATTAGACTCAATCATTTTTTTATATATAAATAGCACTTGAACAAGATGGCCTATCCACCAATCGAATCCGCCGATTTAGCGATTTTTAAATCACACTGAATCATAGATATATCGCAAGGAAAAATATTTGCTCCGCGTATATAGGCGCTCCGGTCCGTTAGGCCTACATAGATGCTCCCATCGCCATCGTGGGGGTTTTAGGGCATGCGTTTCGCCCCTACTCGCATTCTCTAGAACCTGATGGAAAGCCCATGGAAGAAATTGTTAAAAAGAATATTGGAAAAATACTTTCTTTTTTTTTTTTAAATGGAGTTCGTCAATTTCATTGGTGGCTAGGTCCATCTCTCAAAGTACCAAAAAAATCATTTCTTTTGATCGTTTATTCAATTACAATCAATCAACCTAGGAAAGTTGGAATTAAACACTTTCTTATAGGGCCTAGTTTTAACTCTATTTTCTATTTGAATGAATGATTTGTAGGCAATGCCATTTTTCTCTACTCAAGTGTTTTCCTTTCTTTTGAAAACCATTTCATGATCCTATTCAAACTGAATAAGAAGATATGTGTGCCAAATTTGAAAATTTTAATATAAAGGTGCATCCTTATACTATAGAAGTAACGTACACCTCAAAAATTCAGTATAAAAAAGTATTTATATGTTGGAGAGCCTTCCAAATGATCATTTCGACCTCAATGTATATAAATAAAAAAAATAAAAAAAAGAATTTCATGTCTTAGAAATATATATCTATTTTCAAGATTTTTAAAATTTTTATGGATGTGTTGGATCTGCATATTTTTAATTTAAATTTCCTAATTAGGGTGAATGTGGATTTTCAAGCCACTATAAAAGTGTTTGATACCAGAACTACATCGTTAGATAAAATTTAAAGGTGTGCCTTACTTTCTATACTATTAAGGTGGGCATCAGCTTTTTCCTTTTGTTCAAGTTATACCTACCGTTGATGGTTCTCTCTTATTATTACAAGACCACTGGTACAGACGCTTAATTTTAATGTTACAAAAGCTTGTGGAGGTTATTTAGTCACCAACTCATAGATAGGGGTTTGCTGAGAATTAGGAAGAGACCTTGGCCCACTTCAATTGTCTTAACATCGCACTAAGAAAGGCATCTTTGTAACCTGGGTCGACCCAACCCGACCCGACCTTGTCTTAAAGACCCATCCTTGTCATAAAGATGAATTTTTGATCTAAAACTTTGGAGATTCGTGATCTAGACCATGCTGATCATGAATATGAAAATAACAAAATTTTCGAAGTTTAAAAGATGTTTTTTTGGTGATTGTTTTGCACCGTCTATATATATTTGGGGTTTTGTAACTTTGTATGAGGTTAAGGCCCTAAAACATCAAAGACGCACCTTTAAATAGCGTAAAAAGTGATTTTTCAATAACAAAAATCTTTGTGGGGACCTGTAAATTTATTTTTATATCTAATTACAAAATTGAAATCCATTTTTTTAAAAACAATCTTGAAAATTGACGTTTCAAAAAATGCGTTACAAGATACACTATTTCCAAAACTTGAAATCCAATTTTTTTCTCTTGTCCATGCATCTTGACATCGAGATGATCAATTTGAAGATATTTGAGCATCAAAACAATATCTTCTAGTGAAATTTTCGTAGGGGGCTCTAATTTGATTGTTTAGAGCCTCGGCTCCATGTGAGCTTTTTCCTATACATAATAGCCATCCACAGAGAGAGAAAGAGATAGAGATTAATTTGTAGAGTTATCCCAGTTTATATCATAGTTCGCAAGTAGCCGATTTAATCATGATTTTTTTTTCAAAAAATTGGCCCTTGTTTGAAAAATGATTTAATCTGTCGGTAAAAATACACGATTTTTTTATGAAGAAGTTTAAAACGTGACTTTTTCAAAATTTGAAAAAATCGTTTCAAATTTTTTTTTCAATTAATACTTTGATTTTTTATGTAAAGTACAATATCTTTTTCCTGTGTATTAAATTTCTATTTTTATTTTTATTTCTATTCTCCTTAAACTTTCTTTGGTCTCTCCTATGGATATGGTGTGTAATTTTTTCGAGTGGTTATGGGTAGATCATAGTTAACAAGTATGGGGTAGACTATTTCTTTCTAGAAAGATGAAAGTTGAATTCACCTACCTAATACTTATCTTGATGAGTAGGATAGATAACTCATTTAGAGATATATCAAATTGAATATTTAAAATTTATATTTATAGGGAGGTCATTTTTTTTACCTAGTGATATGTGTAATTAGAGTTTCAAAATTTCTAATATTTTAAACATATCTAATTTTTTGACTCTGATTTTTTTCGCATATATTCATGAGCTCTTTACATGAAGGATATTTGTGGATCTACAATTTTTATTCGATTTTTTCATCCGACTTTTTAAAATAAAAATGATTAGCTTCTAAATCCATGATGAGCCGATTTATTGATAATCCTCGACTTGCTGACTATGGTTTATATACAACTATGGAGTTAGTATGAGAGTTTATCCGGGTTAGAGAGAGAGAGAGAGTAAGTAGCTGTGTTTGTAAAGAGAGAGAGGGGGTTACTTTTTAAATGGCAGGGGAGGGCCCCTCTCCCCATCTTCACTTGCCCCAGCCAAAGTGTAGGTCAGACATGTGTAGCTGCTGCTACATAACCCATATAAATAAGGGAACCCTCCAACTCTAACGCCCTCCAAAACGCAAACCCAAACCCAAACCCAAACCCAAACCCAGTCCCAAACCCATTACAAATAGAAAAGCCCATTTCTCTCTCTCTCTCTCTTTCCCATGGGTTTTCCAGTGGGCTACTCGGAGCTGCTCCTCCCAAAACTCCTCCTCAACGCTCTCTCTCTCCTCACCGTCCTCCGCAAACTCATCTCATGGATTTGCAGATGCCTTGGCCTCAACGACTTCCTGGATTCCGCCAACCCCCAAATCGAACGCCCAGTAATCTCCCCTGTATTCCCCTCCGTCTCCGCCATCCTCATCCGGGAAATCCTACCCGTAGTTCGCTTCGAAGAGCTCACCGATGCTTTCCACGCGTCCGAGAGCTGCGCCGTTTGCCTGTACGAGTTCGAGGGGCGGGAAGAAATCCGACGGCTGGCCAACTGCTGTCACATATTTCACCGGAGCTGTCTTGACCGTTGGATGGACCACGACCAGAAGACGTGTCCGCTTTGCCGGACACCGCTCGTCCCTGAGGACCTTCAGGACGCCTTCAATGAGAGGCTTTGGGCCGCTGCCGGAATTTCGGATTTTTTAGGGGAATATTCCGGTCTCTCGTCGTAGCAGAGTTCTAAAGACCCAAAAGTCAATTGTGAATATGAGAAAGATCAAAAAGCTTTTATTTATTTTTTTCTTTTTTCTTTTTACGCCCCTCTTTTGCTCCTTTCTCTTTCTTTCTCTTCATATTTTCAAGGCAATGAAATTGAGGGAATTTTACAAGGGAAACTGGATCTCCTTGTACAGCCTGCGAGAAATGTCCAATTTCTCAATTAGTAGTGAGAGAGAGAATGAAATTTCGATCTTGTTCTTTTGTTCAATTTCTCCAGATCAAAAAAAAAAAAAATACAATCCTGTTCTTTTGTTCCTTCTCTGTGTGTGTGTGTGAGAGAGAGAGAGAGAGAGAGAGAGAGAGAGAGAGAGAGAGTAAGTACACTACGTTAGTTATTAGAGTCGCCGACTAGTAGTCGAGAGGGAGGTAGTTAGTTTAGAGTTGTTAGTTGGTTTGGTTTAGTTAGTGTAGGT